CCCCCAAACCTGGCACCCATGGGGACCCAGGCCCCCTAACTGCACACCCATGGGGACTCAGGACCCCCAAACCTGGCACCCACAGGGACCCAGGCTCCCAGAGCAGGCACCAAAGGGGACCCCAGCCCGGGCAGCCGGTCTCGAGCGCAGCCGGGCACCCCGTGCCCGCCGCCCGGCGCCGCTTACGTGTAGGGGAAGACGCGGAAGGCCGGGTCGGTGCCGGGCACGCGGCGCAGGGTGGCCGTGATGTTGTCGGCCAGGGCGCGCGCCGCGCGCAGCGCCGCCGTGTACTGCTGCGAGGAGCGCAGCGGGCGCTGGTACGCCATGAAGCGCGATGCTGCGGGCACGGCGGCGGGTCAGGGGGCACCGCGGCCGCCCGGCCCGCCGCCCCCGCGCACTCACCCACGATGGTGCCGTTGGGGTCCATCTTCACCGCCGTGTCGTAGGCGCCCAGGCCACTGCGGGGAGCGCGGGAGGGTGGGCACCCCACGGGGCAGGCGCCCGAGTGATGGTGCCCGTGTGTGTGTGTGTGTGTGCCCAAAGAGTGGTGCCCACCTGCCCGAGGAGCTGTGCCCAAATAGCGGTGCCCATGGAGCTGTGCCCACCTGCCCAAATAGCAGTGCCCACCTGCCCAAGGAGCTGTGCCCACCTGCCCAAATAGTGGTGCCCACCTGCCCAAGGAGTTGTGCCCAAATAGCAGTGCCCACCTGCCTGAGGAGCTGTGCCCACCTGCCCAAATAGCGGTGCCCACCTGCCCAAGGAGCTGTGCCCAAATAGCAGTGCCCAGGGAGCTGTGCCCACCTGCCCAAATAGCGGTGCCCACCTGCCCAAGGAGCTGTGCCCAAATAGCAGTGCCCACCTGCCCAAGGAGCTGTGCCCACCTGCCCAAATAGTGGTGCCTATCTGCCCGAGGAGCTGCCCAAGGAGCTGTGCCCATGGGCATGTGCCCAAATAGCTGTACCCACATAGCTGTGTGCAAATAGCAGTGCCCAAATAGCTGTGCCTAAATAGCAGTGCCCACCTGTGCAAATAGTGGTGCCTATCTGCCCGAGGAGCTGCCCAAGGAGCTGTGGCCAAAGAGTGGTGCCCCCCTGGCCAAGGAGTTGTGCCCAAATAGCAGTGCCCACCTACCCAAACCGTGGTGCCCAAATAGCTGTGCCCAAAGAGCTGTGCCCAAGGAGCTGTGCCCACCTGCCCAAACAGCAGTGCCCACCTGCCTAAGGACCTGCCCGAGGAGCTGTGCCCATGGGCATATGCCCAAATAGCAGTGCCCATGTGCGTGTGCCCAACACATCGGTGCCAGCGTGCATGCACCCATGTGCAGGGGCACAAATATTGGTGCCAATGTGCATGTGCCCATGCGCAAGTGCTTGAATAGCTGTGCCAATGTGCGTGTGCCCAACGTACCCGTGCATACACCCATGTGCAGGGGCCCACAGCTGCGTCCGTGTGTCTGAAACGCCCATGCCCGTGTGCCCCAAATAATTGTGCCCAGATGAATGTGCCCATGGGCGCTCCTCGCGTGCAGGTGCCCAGGCAGCTGTGCCCAATTCCCTGTGCCACGTGCACGGACCAATGCGCGTGTGCCCCACATAYCTGTGCCCATGTGCATGAGCCCAATGTACCCATACCCATTAGCTGGCACCGTGGGCTTTGCCCACGTGCGTGTGTGTGTGCGCCCAGGTGCTYGTGCCCCAAATACAGGTGCGTGTGCCCATGGGCTCCGCTCGCCGGCACYTGGGCCCGCCCGTGCCCCGCACCCTGTGCCACATGCCCTGTCCCCGCGTGTGCCACAAGCCCGTGAGCCCCGCCGCGTGCCACGCACCCCTTGGGGCACTGCAGCGTGGGCGCGTCGTACAGGAACCAGGGCAGGAAGCGCTCGAACTCCTCCTCCGTGGGCCGCCGCGCCGACTCCAGGCACTGGCCCAGGAGGCAGCTGAGGGCGTCTGCGGGCGGCACCGGGCGCTCAGCAGCACCCAGGGGTGCCCGCGCCGCCCCCGCGGCCCCCGCGCCGCGTCACCCACCGCTGGTGGCCGGGCAGAACTCGCCCTTGTGCGGCCCGAACTGGTGCACGCGGCAGCAGCGCCCGGCGGGGTTGAGCCAGTCCAGGAAGTCGTCCAGCCAGGAGGTGGCCGGGATGGCCAGGTAGGACCTGCGCGGGGAGCCGCGGTGGGCGCCGGGCACCGGGCACCGGCCGCCGCCGCCCCCCGCATTGGCACGCACACGTTGGCGAAGCGCGTGGCGTATTGGATCTTCTGCGTGAGCGAGTCGGCGTCGCAGCCCGCGCTCGAGCAGATGGCGTTGGTGCCGTTGGCCGAGGAGAAGTTGTAGCCGCCCGTGGTGACGAAGTAGGTGGGCACCCCCACGGACAGGTACTCGTTGAGGGCGGCGAAGTATTCCAGCAGGTAGGAATCCTGCGGGATGGCGGCGGCGGCTGCGYGTGGAGCGCCCCGGTCCCGCCGCCCGCGGCCGGCTCCCTGGCACCCACCTTGGGCAGCGCCAGCTCCTGGTCCAGCCCCACGGGCACCTGCAGGAGGAGGTAGAGCCCGGCGCAGGACAGGAAGAAGAAGAGCAGCATCTGGCAGGGGGGACAGCCCGTGTGACCCCCCCGGTGCCACCCGGGTGCCGGGAGAGCCCCCGGTGCCCCCTCGGCACCCAGATGTCCCCACAAACTGCCCCTAAGGCCCCGTTTGGGCTCCACGCACCGCAGGGTGCCCCGGGACCCACTGCGCCCCAGACCTGTGGGGTCCAGGTGCCCCCCAGGACCTCCCATGTCACCCAAGGACCCTCTTCAAGACCCTGATATCCCCTCTAAGTCCCYAGGACCCGCATGTCCCCCAGGTGCCACCTCGGCCACCACAGTGCCCCATGAGCCCCTCCATGAGCCCCCCATGTGCCCCCCAGGCCCTTAGGACCTCCCTATCCCCCCCCAGCCCAATCCCCCTGCACCCCCAGGAGCCCCCTTAGACCCTGCAGCCCCGGGCGCCTCGCGAGCCCTCCCKTGCCCGTGCCCGTGCCCGTGCCCGTGCGCGCGGGCGCCGCGCTCACCACGAGGGGCCGGGTGACGCGGTGCAGCAGCAGGGGCACGTAGTAGCGCTGCATGAGCGGGCGCAGCAGCCCGGCGCCCCGGCCCCCCGGCGCCCCCTTCTCCGGCCCCCAGCAGCAGCACAAGTCGTAGCGGGCGGCCTAGGGCACGGCGGGCGCGTGGGCACGGCTGCCGGGGGGCACCCGCCTGCCCCACGCGCCCCACGGCGCCCAGGGCACCCGCATGCCCCATGGCACCCTATGGGCACCCTGGCGCCCTCCCTGACCCCATGGCCACTTTTGGCCAACCTGCCCTGTCCCATGGCACCTTATGGCCACCAAGGGCACCTTCCAGCCCTGCAGTGCCCAGTACCCACCCTGGGACAGCCCTGGGCACCCGCATGCCCCATGGCACCCTATGGGCACCCTGGTGCCTCCCTGACCCCATGGCCACTTTTGGCCAACCTGCCCTGTCCCATGGCACCTTATGGCCACCAAGGGCACCTTCCAGCCCTGCAGTGCCCAGTACCCACCCTGGGACAGCCCTGGGCACCTGCATGCCCCATGGCACCCTATGGGCACCCTGGCGCCCTCCCTGACCCCATGGCCACTTTTGGCCAACCTGCCCTGTCCCATGGCACCTTATGGCCACCAAGGGCACCTTCAAGCCCTGCAGCGCCCAGTACCCACCCTGGGACAGCCCTGGGCACCTGCATGCCCCATGGCACCCTATGGGCACCCTCCTGCCCCACGGCACCCACACAAACTCTAGGATAGCCCTGGGCACTCTCTTGCCCCACAGTAGCCTATGGCCACCCTGGGCACCCTCCACTGCCCCATGGCATCTTGTGGTCGCCCCAGTATACCCGCATGGCCACTGCCCCTGCCCCATGGGCGCAGGTACCTCCTCTCGGCGGGCATCAAGTGCCAGCAGGGCCACAAAGCCCGAAATCTGGAGGAGAAAGTCGAAGGCGATGGCGAGGGCGGAGGTGAGGGCGAAGGTGCGGACGGCGGGCATGGAGGAGAGGGAGCCTGCGGGCACCGCGCCGTGAGCGCCCGCTGCTCCGGCGTCCCCATGGCCATCGCACTGCGCCCGCCCCGTCCCCGTGTCCCCAGCACGTGCCATGCCCATCGTGTCCCCATGCCCATCGTGTCCCCGTGCCCGCCGTGTCCCCATGCCTGCTGTGTCCCCATGCCCGTGGCACACACTGTGCCCACTGTGTCCCCATGCCTGCCGTGTCCCCATGCCCATGGCCCACACTGTGCCCGCCGTGTCCCCGTGCCCGCCGTGTCCCCGCGCGGGCTCACCCAGCAGGAAGCAGATGACCTCGGAGAAGCTGCACAGCAACATGCTGGGTGCCACCTCGGCCAGCACCCGCCCGATGTGCTGGTCCCGCGTCTCGCCCGGCGCCCGCACCGACTGCTGCTGGGACACCGGGGGCGCTGAGGCCGGCACCCGATGCCCAACGGCCCATGTCCCCATGGGGCTCCCCGTGCCCAGCCCCRTCCACGTCCCTCCCGCGCCCCACGGGGACACCCGTGCCCACCTGATACTCCTGCACGAAGATGAAGATGTTGTCGGCGCCCACGGCCAGCACGAGGAAGGGCACCACCTCGAGGATGATGAGGGACGAGGGCAGCCCCATGAAGGCCAGGCAGCCCATGGAGGCGAAGACGGCGCCCAGCACCACGGCGATGCCGCCCAGCGCCAGCGTCACCTTGGACTCCACCTGCGGGCAGCAGCTGCTCAGYCGCCGCCGGCTGCACCCCGGGGTGCTCCCCGCCGCCGCCGCGCCCGCCGTACCAGCACGCGGCGCCACGCCGTGTACTCGCCCAGCGCCAGCGCCACGTAGGCGAAGACGACGACGTAGCTGATGGTGAAGATGGGCAGGTCCTCGTTCGTGGTGCGGTTGATCTCGTCCTCCAGCGAGCGCTGCGGGCGCCGGGCCGCGTGAGCACCCGTGGGCGGCCCGCCGGCACCCTGCCCGCCCCGGCGCCCGCCTACCTCGGCCATGAAGACCACGGAGAGGTTGGCGCCCTGGGTGCGCTGGAAGTCGCGCACGATGGCCAGGAACTGCTCCTCCCAGGCCAGCACCCACTCGTAGCGCGGGTCGTCGCGCGGGAAGTTGTTGAGCGAGTAGGTGATGATGAGCGCCTCGGCCTCCGTGTACTCGGAGTCTGCGGGCAACGCCGTCGGTGCCCGCGCGGCACCATGGCCATCGTGGACCCGTGGCAGCCATGCACCCAGCACCCATGGCATTGATGTACCCAGTACCCATGGCATTGATGCACCCAGTGCCCATGGCATTGATGCACCCAGCACCCATGGCTTTGATGCACCCAGTACCCATGGCATTGATGCACAGCACCCGTGGCACTGATGTACCCAACACTCATGGCATTGATGTACCAATACGCATGGCATTGATGTACCCAACACTCATGGCATTGATGTACCCAATACCCATGGCATTGATGTACTCAATACCCATGGCATTGATGTACCAATACGCATGGCATTGATTCACCCAGCACCCACGGCACCTACGGCACTGTTGCACCCAACACCCACAACGCCGACGCACCCACAGCCATGCTGGTGATGCACCCAGCACCCATGACGTTGGTGCACCCACACCCCTTGCTGGTGATGCACCCAACMCCCACGACTGACGCACCCACGCCCCACACTGGTGATGCACCCGGCACCCGTGCCAATGACACTCGTGACAAGCRGCAGTGATTCACGGGGCACCGACAGCAGCGGTTCCCGCGGCACCCAGAGCAGCGAGGGACGTGGCTGCGGCGGCAGCGGTGCCCGCGGCGCCCGTGGCACCATGGCCGTGGCTGCGCCGCGCGCCCGCTCACCCGGGTAGCCGCCGAAGGCCAGGTAGGGGAAGACGGGCCCGCCGTACTCGGCCATGCAGCTCAGCTCCAGCGCCGTGATGTCCTTGAAGGAGAGCGGCGAGCTGGCGGGCACAGGGACCCGTCACGGGGGCAATGGGTCCCGCGCCCCACGCCATGCGCTATGAGCCCTGCTTGGCCACCCCTAGCCCCACGGCCTGCTGCCCCACGGGCAYGCGCCGTGCCCAGAACAGTGCCCCATGCAGACACCTTGTCTTGGCCACCTTGGCACCCACCMCGCCAGGCACCCTGTTCTGTGCAGGTCCCTCCTTGCACCCACACCTTGGCATCCTATGGGCCATGCCCAGCTCCCTGCCCCACACAAACGCCCCACCTCGACCCCCGGCGTGCTGCCCCGTCCCGCCGCGCCCGCCGTGCACCCACTTGACGCAGTAGATGAGGTGGTCGCGCCAGTCCACGGTGCCCGTGCGCTTGCCCACGGTCTGCGTGGCCGTCATGGCCAGGCGGCTGCCGTTGTTCTGGAAGTACTGGGTGACGCTGTTGACGCAGCAGTCGGCCAGGCTGGCGTTGGTGGGGTTGAGCGGCGCGTAGCAGACGTCGCTGAGCGTCACCGTGCGCCCGGCCACGGTGGCGGCGGCGGCGCCCAGGCGCTCCTGCAGCGCCAGCAGCGCCCGCAGCACCGGCGGCTCCAGCAGCCCGCTGAAGTTCTTGGCGCCCAGCACCACCGAGTCGTAGGCGGCCRCGGGCCGCCCCGGCGCCCGCACGATCACCTGGTTGGTGCGCATGAAGGGCCCGAAGTGCTCGTCGTGGAAGGCCTTCTCCTGGCGCGCGCGGCTCTCGGGCGCCGACCACAGCTCCACGGGGTCGGTGACGAGGCGCTGCACGGCCATGCCCGCGGCCAGCGCGCCCGTCGCCACCGCGGCCACCAGCAGCACGACCGCGGGGTGTCGCGCCACCAGGGCGCCCCAGCGGGCGAAGGCGCTGCG